GAAGGAAATTTGATTTCCAATTATAATGGCCTTCTGTTGCCGGGTTACCGTGTTCCCAAATATTTGCATAATCAATTAAGGCCATAAATTTCAGTACACTGATTTATCCAAGATCCTCCCTGATCAACGCTGTCCACTCCATCTTCTTGTTCGTTACTGTTTTTGTTATCAGAGGTTTTTGGATCTTGATGGTTTATTAACAAAGTTGACGGATGTTTTGGATTGGACAAGTCAGCTGGTATCTCGTCATACAGAAGATTTAGTGGTACATCAGCCGATTTATCCTAAGGTGGAATAATAAAATGTAAGCAAATCTCATTGTTCACCAAGTGAATGATAAACCTTCAATTTCGGGTGTTTTGTGTTGCTTAGGATAAGCCCCAATTTTATTCAGACTATTCATGTTTTCCAGGGACTCCGGAGAGGGAGGGTTAAGGGGGCTCTAGCCCCCCTAATAGGTTACTATCAATAGAAGTCACTTCCGGTAATAATTAAGTTTTGACGATTGAAATACTCAGATATATTACTTTTAGAACTGTGTTGACATGTTTTGACTTTAAATTTGCTAGTTGTATATCAATTACCCCCTATTCATCTCCAACGAAAGTCACGTTATTGATTGTAAGGCAATTGTTTTGCCGCCATGTTGAATTACTTATTTACTTATTTACTGTTTATAAATAAATATAATATAAGCTTAATATAAATAGGATATAAAGTTCATAAACTTTTTTCGGCTCTTCTCGGTAAATGAATCATAATAAAATACTGAACAAGCCAGTTATCTCAATTAACTTTCAATTAACAAGGACCAACGAACCCAGCAGTCCAGATCTTTCAATTAACGAAGACCAAAGAAGAACCCAGCAGTCCAAACTTTCGAAGGCAGAAAAACTTTAATGCAATAAATATGTTGCAAATGCCCCTTCAAAGCACTTGAAAAATGCCGGAGTAAATAAATCTGTAGTAAAGAAACAATGACAAGAATAATGATATACGAACTCGAAAATGGTGTATTCAAAGTAGTCCGGAAAGGTTCATTTTAATTTTATTATTTTCGCCTAAAAAAAATGCAAACCAACCTTCTTTTTGTTTTTATTGACTTTAACATACACGGGTTCCACGTTAGATTTCACTTTCTTCGAACTGGATGTCTCATCACGTGTTGGTTGTTGTACTGTGTTATAAGTGATAACCGGTTTGTGCCCAGTCTCTTCCACGGTGGCATAATCAGCATTGCTTGCAGATGTGTGAATTACGTTTCTCCCTCGTATTGCATCAACTGGTTCTCCATACGGACACTCTTCGGCCCATTGATTTGCCCTAATTAAAAAAAAAAACGCTTAGTATTTCACAACATCGCTTAATTTGAAGAAAATTTAAAAAAACGGCAACATGAAGTATAAAAAAAATGAAATATGACTCTTAAAAAGACAAGATTAACCGAACAACTGACGCCCACTTAACCTAACCGAAACCAATACTACCAACTAACCACCTAACTAACAATAAGGGTAATAACCAAAACAAGAAGGGAAGAAAAAGCAAAACAAAAACAAACAAACAAACAAATAAGAAAACAACAACAACAACAACAATTACAAACAAATAAACTAACTAAAAAACTAAACTACCCAAATTAAGAAATTAACAATCAGCATGCGGCCACCAAATAACAGCAATCTTTTTTTAATGTGATATATGACTTTAAGAGATTCTTTTGGATCTTACCCCCCGTCTTGCTGCTGTGTGCCTGAAAGTGATAAAGAGGAAAATCAGGGATATGTGAAGGGTGATTCTCGTTTGAAAATAGGTGATTTCCACTAACAGGTAGGTGACCCCATCCCTTGAATCTATCAGTTGCTTCAAATTGATTACAAAAAAATGATTAGGGGACCTCGATATTAGTAAACAGTTGGAGTTTATGATCGTAATAATAAATATATAAAATGATTTTTAAGGGAAAATTAGCTTGCATGTCTTCTTTATGTTAGTTTTCAAAATGTTCGAATCAATTATCAAAGCATGGCCATTGAATGGACTACGTCAATGATGCGGCAGCCATCTTGCCAGGGGGCAAAATAAAAGGTCAATAGTGACGGAATATATATATATCTAGTTTCGTGTGTTTGTCTTTCTTTTATGGTAAATGTGATCGATGATGTGTCGTCTTATTTCCTCGTTGTATTCTCTTTTATAATATAGTCAAGTAAATCCGCGCGATCTGATTGGTTGAAAAGCATGAACCATTTGCCCATGGGTTGCACGCTCACATCAGCTTTTTTTGCTTCGGCGAAAAAAAAAACCTTTTTTGTATCTTTTTGCTGACAATTTATCTAGAAAAGATAACTGAAAATTATTGAAAAAACTAGCGAAAATACTCATCAGTCTCCGACATTTAGCATAGAGTTGTTATTTGATCAGCCTAGTAATAAAAAATMAAGATTCATTTTCAAACAGTGAGCTGGACAAGATTGTGTTAGAGCGTCACTCCAAAAAGACAAAGCAAACCACAAATCGGTCGGTGTCTACATTCAAAGGGTTTTTAGCAATGATTAAACAAATACAAAAATATTGTTATCGTGTATTTATTCAACAAAAGTATTTCCAAAGTAATAAACTATAAATATCACGCTCACCGTCTCCTTCGCAGCTTCACAACTGCAGTGAAGTCCTTTTCTAAAGCTCTACATGGGAGTGAAAGCCGACAAAGCATACTACCCAGAGAAAATTAATCCAGTTCAGTCAGTTAGTTTTGTTCCGTGTACAAGAAACTTTCCATTGCTAAGTCATTGTACGATAACAAACTTGAACATCGCCAACAACAACAAAGACAGCCACTGTGTTTTTCTTTGATTTTTTTGAGCATTACTGTACTAAGATGTGTCAACATTTGAAATGTGCTTGGCTTACAGTTGAAAATCACTCTCTCCGTAGTTTTGGACATTTTTGGTTCACTTGTAAGGTAAATTTTTGCCATTATTTTAGTCATAACAGTCTTCAGTGTAAAGCTGCCATTTTCAACTGTTTTTCTGTGTGTTTTTTTTTTGGCGCCTTTGTGCATTTCATTCACGCAAGGATTCATGCGTAAGGAGAACTTAGGGCATGATCAACAAGTTAAGTCAATATTTTGTATTCATTTCCTGTTTGTTGACTTGACTATATTATAAAAGCAATGGATCATAAGGAGCTGTGCGTCCATCGAGTTATGGATGCACTTGGGAGGTTGCTTAAGCACTCAAAAAAGCTAGAGTTGCACTCCGCTTCGCGTCGTGCAACTCTTACGCTTTTCTTCGAGCTTAGCAACCTCCTGCGTGCATCCATAACTCGATGGACGCACGCTCCTTATGATCCATTCCTTAATTGGTTGATATCATTTTCTCATTTTAGTTATAAAGCTCCATTTGCCCATGGACCCTTATAATGCTTTGCGACCCAAGATTTTTGTCGCAGAAATCGCAGAAATAGTCCATTAATCTGACGTAATTAAAGAAATGCATTATCTTCTCATTTACCACTGACAACATCACGTTTTGACTGCTTCCGTTTTCGCGAAAWAAGAACATAAACCAGTATCAAGGCAGCAACAAATAGTAGAGCACAAACGATGATAACCATGATTATTTGTAGCCGATTGTCAGGAGGAAGAATGGATCCATCGTCATCTGAAATATTWAAAAAAATCAAAAGTATCTTATTGTATTTAAGGTAAAACCATAATCTTTGTTTAAACAAAAACAAAAACAAAACAAATCAGTGGATTAATGCACATGTAAATTACTCAGTTTTAAATCTAATAAGTTTAAGGTTCAAACGTGTTGATCGTGTTGATCACATAAAACATACCTATATCCTCCAAGTTATCTCCTTAAAAAAATGAAAAGGAAAAAAAATCAATTATCAATATTAATGTTTGTGCCTTCTTAGGCGCTCATGACGAAAAACTAAGTAAAGAAGTGAACGCGTTATTTGGACAACAAGTATCTAGCCTAACCATTGAACGCTCTCAGAAATGGATTATTTCACAGAATTGTGAAATTATTAAACGTTTATGTGTTTGTAGTTCTAAGAAAGACTCATTTTAGTTTTGAAGAACTCAAAGTTGATTTAGCTTCATGTACTATATACTCAATTGAGAACTTTCAGTATATTTTAGCTTTAATTCGTTTTCTTTTCTGTTTTTGTATCATACCAAATTTATAGATTATTTCAAAATTTAATTTTTATTTATTAATATAACGTAAATACTATTTTGTATGCTTAGTCCACATTGCTTAAGCTAAGCCCGCAATGATGTTGATATATTTAGTGAGATTTTATCAATAAAGTTCACCATAATAATAATAATAATAATAATAATAATAATAATAGTAAAAATAAAAATAAAAATAATTATTATTATTAATATTTTACAGCTTCTCATTAATCCCATATAGGTAACTGTCCAATTATTTTCTTAATTGGACAGGTCTTGTTGATATGGGATTAATTAGGCAGCTATGCAATTAATAGGTAATGGGATTTCATGCTCCCAAATCAAGGTATAATTAGACTCGAAAAATTCATCTGGCTGCCAAATTGAACTCGGACTACTGCCTCATCCAATTTTGTCAGTCCTCGGAATTTTCCTCGTCCAATTATTTCTTAATTGGACAGCATGGAGTCATATCACATATACTCATTATCATTATTATTATTGATTGGTTCATTTTCTTGTCGATTACTWTTCAGAGTGAAAGCCGTTGGGCAAGTGCAAGCGTATTGATAAGGTGTAGTGCAATTTTCTAAACATGATAAGTAATGCTCATTATAATAAAATATTTAATAAATATGATTTTTTTTTCTTCCAAAAGATCAATAGCAGAAGAGAATTAAAACTTCTACTTACGACAGATTGGTATTTCAAGATGCACTGTTTTTCCTTGTCCATATTTGTTTTTTGCACTACAACTGAAATCAAGATATCCATTCTCTGATGTAGTAATTGTGGCGTTACCATCAGAGGAATTGACCATTGTTTTGTTCCCTTGTTGGATGAAGTATTGCACTGATGGCGATGCGTCTGCCTTACATAATATTTTGAATGTCTTATTTGCTGTTGTACAATTTATTTGCGATGTCAGCTCTGTATCTGTCGGTTGATATTCTATATAACAACAATGGTAAGATACATACATCAAAATAATCAGACCAGAAAGGAAAATATAAATACGTCATTCAAATTTATCTTTTTATCTTCCTCTCTTGGTTCGCTTGGATCTTACTTGTATGCTCAGCACATTCAGCACAATCAGTACGAAGATAAACTTATATGTAAAGAGGCTGTACAAGAATCATTTCATGCATAAGCTACCGCGATCCCATTTCCTTTTCAAAGACCCGATAATTGCCCTGAAATGACTCCTGACCCAAAATTCAGCTGGCATTTAACACGGCATTCGACGTTATCCAACATTTGTATCCAACATCTTGATCACAGTTAACTACTATCTATGTTTTGATCCAACATTGTTGGCAGACCATGCAAAAAGATCAATCTAAGCATTTGACCCAACAAATGTTGGCTATGTTGGGACACATTTTAGGACATACAACCAGGGCGTTTATCCTTTACTACTTGTAAAAAAGAAAAAAGAAAGAAAACATGTAAGTTTATGTAAAGCCGTTTACCTATTACTTCAAGGGACGTGCAATTGGTCTCATGCCCAAAACTGTTTGACACGTGACAGCAATACTCTCCTCCTGATTCTTTACCAGTGATGTTGAATGACGTCACACTGGAATTAGCTATTGTTCTGTTCGTATCCTTGTGTATCCATGTAACACGAGGTGCTGGATTGGAGGCATTGCACCTTAATGTTATTGAATCTCCTTGTTTGCCATAACGGTGTGAGGTTAGATTGTTGATACGGGGTAAAACTAAAAAAATAAGAAAAATTAAAAGTAAGATTTTGCTTTTGCTGATCAACTGACTTAACTGCTATTAAAGTTGGACGATTTTTGCACAGTATTATATTCTTGTGTGAAAAAAAAAAGACTTTCCATGTCATATTTACTTGACTCTTTTTATTCTTTCTCGGGCTCAAAAAGACAAATAAATACAAGTTGGAGTAGTTTTTAGCGCAGATTTCGTATGAGTGTGAAAAGTACGACACATACGGCACGGTTACGATGGGGCACGGCGCAGACACGTCAAGTGGTTTTTTATTGGACAAGGCTGACACGGTCACGGCAAGGTGCGGTCCATGCCGAAAATTACGTTTTTTCAACGTTGTACAAAAACTGCTCTATGTATTATTTGGTACCTGGTCTCTGCTCTTTTCTAAAGTTCATATATAACCTTTTTTTTTTTAGAACTTCCAGAACATTTATTTAGAAAATCAAGATATATCCAAATATCAATTTAAAAACTGTAAAAAATTCTTTTTTAAAAAATCATTTAACGCAAACCTTTCATATGGCTGAGGTTAACACTTGAGCTTTGTAACATTTCCATATTATGGAAATCAAGGTTAACAGGTCTGAGAGCTGACTTATTTTCCCACTTTCGTGTCTAGATTATTGCTCGGACAGAAAATTTAAAATAATGATAAAAAGAAAAACAAACAAAGAACAAATGTAAGTTTACGTAAAATAAGCCGTTTACCTGTCACTTCAAGGAACGTACATTTAGTCTCCTCCCCAAAACCGTTTGACGCGTGCTGATTCTTTACCAGTAATGTTGAATGACGTCACACTGGAATTAGCAATTGTTCTGTTTGTATCCTTGTGTATCCATGTAACACGAGGTGCTGGATATCCAGAGGCATAACATCTTAACGTTATTGAATCTCCTTGTTTGGCAAAGAGATTTGAGGTCGTCAAATAGTTAATACGAGGCAAAGCTACAGGTAAAAACAGAGCGACTACATTATCTTTTATTATTTCTAAGGTAAAATAACTTGGTATTGATATATAAATAGTAAATAAGTCATTAAACATTGCGGCAAAATTATTGCTCCTCAGCCCCACCCCCTCCCCCTATCCGTTGTCCCTGTTATAGCCGTTATTACTCAAGGAAATTAAAGATATGATGAGTAGGGCTAGTTGTCGTATGTGAGTAGAGTTGTTTGTTGGTCTCTGCTGTGCTCCGCTGTGCTACGAGGGCTTTCCTTTGTTTTTCCGATTTGGTTTTCCGAGTACTTCAGTTTTTCCATCCTCCACAAAAATCAACTACCATATATATATTCTTATTCCATCTATCGGCTGTTTCATCAGTTCAGTATCAAGGCCTGTTAATTGCATTAGATTAGTCACGGATTACTCATTTAATTATGTAATAGTACGTACTGTGGAAAAATAATATTTCTTTCATGTTTTTTATGTCAATTGTTTGCTCGAATTTGATTGAATATAAATACGCTACATGATGTTACCTATTTGATTGTATATATGCATGTTCATGATTGTGGATCATGCTGAGCTAATCGCAAAATAAATAAAAAAATAATTACTTGGCAGTAATAAGGAACTAACAAGACAGTATTTGATTGTAATGTTGACGATATTGTTTGTGTTTTCTTTTAGTTACCTTTATCCCAAAAAAGGTTGTAAAATCCCACGTTAGCCCATCTGCTGGACAGAATATTTAGATATCAAAGGAAATTTGCATCACATATAGAACTTATTACATGGCAGCTTGGAGTTAAGGATTTTATCTTTGACTGATGAGCTGATATTTTACGAGTGGGCGCAGCTAATACTCTAAACACCAGAAGGTAAAATCCTTATCTCCAAGCGAACATGTAATATTCTGTTTGATCCTGATTATTGATGAAATACAATTTTCAATGGATTCATTAGCATTTGATGGGATTCCTAAGAATTCTTATCAATAGTAATATCTTCACCTATCTATATATCATATATTATTATGAAGACAACCACTGGATATGAGAAATCGCGCGCTCTGATTGGCTACTTTACTACTAGGCTATCAGCTCATATAGAGAAAATTCGAAATGGCCGCCTCGCCGACCGATTGGCTCAACATTTTGAGGAAATTCTCTTGAAAAGTAAATCGTGAAAGACGAAAAACAAAAGTGAAAGAGCAATAAGACAAATCATTTTTTTAAAAACATATTATCAACAAAGTAACAAAAAAACCATTTGCAAAAATTATGCCCGCTTCCAATATATATATACAAGTATATCAAAAGCATATCAAAGATTATGGGATATCATAATAATATCTAATAATATATAATATATAATATATCTGATAATATATATATATAGGTTGCTATCAATAGACATCACTTCCGGTAATAGCTCTTTTTTGACGGCTTGTAGAATCCTGGAGGTTGTTTCGATCTCTTGTTTGCTGGTTTGATGTCGTGAAAATAGTCAAATACAATAGTTTGAGGACTTATTTTGATATGTTTTGACTTAGCATCCGCTAGTTGCCCCCCAGCAAACCGCTTGTTTGCCCCCCAGTCAACTCCAAARAGTCACGTGATTGATAGTAAGCAATATAGTTATAAACCGCTGTTTATTTTATGCAATTTTGATTAATACAAACGACTTTAATGCAATGATGATTAATATTCAAACTTTTACTCTCATGAGTGAACTTGTTTTGCATAAAACTGCAAAGCTTTTTTTGTGCTGTGCCTATGGGCACAGTACATTTGTTTTTGTTGAGTTAGGTATGATCGGAATTTAGTGTTACGAATGCCATTGGTGGACCTCGTCATGATTGACATTGGTGAAACACGAGGTGAAAATGCATGTTGAGATCTGTAAGATCGGGACACGGAGGAGGTGAAAGAGGTTGAACATATGTGRTTTTCGAAGTAAGAGTGCCTTAATCCAACTTACTTTAAACTTAATTTGGTGAGTTCTAAGCAGATAATTAGAAATTGGAGCTAAATTAGAAACTTTAAGTGCGATTTTTGTTTTTTTATACAACTCGAATTAGTTACGTAAACAAAAGATTGTAAATGGACAGGCGAGGAATTTATACTGCGTCATTGATGTAAAATAGTACTCGCACGAGTTTTATATTATTTTATTACCAAGAAAAATGATATTAGGTTTGATTAGCAAAACATTTTTATTTCTAGTCGAATATTTTCATGACAAAAACGTATTTCATGCCGTAAGCTTGAATGGGGGCGGGCAAGGAATTTCTACTGCGTCATTGATCTAAAATAGTACTATTGGTATTTACTAAAACAAGGAACGACCTAAAACCACCTGAAACGASCTGAAACGAGCTGAAACGACCTGAAACCGTCTTGAAACCACCTGAAACCAGCCAAAACATTGAATCTCCATCGAGTTTGTCGTCCAGTTTGTGTATTTTATTGACTGTTATCGATCGATCGAGTGTTTGTTTTCCTTGGAAGGGATGTACTTCATACTTACCCATAATGCACCCGATATAGTGATATACTATATACTTGGTTGGATCAGAATTTCTGCATATCGCTGTATATATATACAGAGTTAATATATATATATTTAGGCACTGCCTAAAAGCGGAGCTCCCGATACGGAAGTCACAGGGAGAACAATTTGAATGAAACTGAAAGTTAAAAATAAGATAGGGGGAAAAATCTTCAATTATTTTTTATTCGAGATGAAGATATTTTCTCCCATAATAAAAACCATGCAGTAAAATCAAATCGAAATGCACTACATTGTTTTTTTGTTGCTTTGTTTAGCGCGAGTACATACTCTCCCACTTAGGAATTTTGTACACAATTCACCACCACCCCCAGGGGCTAGTTTTGCTCTTGGAAGATTTTTCGACAAATTTTTCCAAAAAAACCCGACATTTTTAGGCTTTGAATCTTTTTTACTTAAAAAAAAAACGAAAGATAACTACAGATAATCCAATACAATATCAAGTTTAGTGAAATTTACCTCGGATCTATTTTATTGAAATCGAAAATCTGGAGATTTAGGACAAATCAAGACCAAAAAAACAGACTTGGAGCAAAATATAAGCTTACTTTAATAATTACGTCTTTTACAGAACGAGACGTTTTACATTCAGTTAAACTTGACAAGAACAACTGAGACAAAATAGAAAATAAAAGCAATGCAACAAGGCAATGCAAAATGACGAATTTCTTTGTCAGTAAATTGGCGTTTGTAAATGTTTTTGAATATTTTTTACGGCTTTTTAAAGTGAAAGTCTAGGTCTTTCTAGAACAACATCTCTCAACAACACAAATTTAAGCTCATTTTTATAATCAGACTTGCTCGAATAGCTTAATAAACAGTTGAATATTTGGTCAGAGTAAATTTATATTTCATTCAATATTTAAATAAATTATCTGTAGAAATAAAAGTATTAAATGAAAGTCTTCGTTGTTTTGAAGATGGGAACCCGAGATAGGAGGCGAATCTTTCTTGAACGAAAAACATACGATAGTTGGTTAAAAACAACGTTTTACAACGTTAACCGAATTGCTAAAGATTTACAAAGCTAAATAAAGGACGAATATTTGTTGTAATATGCTCTTCATGTTATATTTACTCCAACATTAAAATAAATTAAGCTTATCTACAGAAATATTACAAGTTTTGAAGGAAAGTCTTTGCGAGTGATTTGTCGAAATGCTTGTCAAAAAATAATAAACGATTGTTTGCTAAACCACACACCTGAATTCTTGGAGAACACTTCTTAATCCATCTTTGAATACATGAAAGTTTTTTAATTGTCCTTGGTCCATAACTTGTCCTAAAGCGATTTTTTTCTGTGCAT